ATATATATATATATATATATATATATATATATATATATATATATATATATATATATATATATATATATATATATATATATATATATATATATATATATATATATATATATACTTCTTTTCCAGCCGATAAAAGTTACGCTTGGTTTCTGTTGCGTGTTTTAAACCTTTAAAACAAGAATAACACGTGCTAAGAATGGTTTCCATTCCTGTTTATATTCACCAAAAGCACCAGTTAAAATATTAATAGTAAGTGTTTTTGGTATACGCCTGGATCGTGGCAAACACCTATCTAAACAGATTTTAATTCCGAAAATAAAATTATAGTTTCATTTTGCCAACACATCTATAGATGTGTTGGCAAGGTTATGGCTAGGTTGTTGGAAATGTAATAAATGTGTTGGCAAGGTTATGGCTAGATTGTTGCAAATGTAATAAATACCAGCAAAACTATTTGACAGAATTCTTAGCAAAATGAATTTCTTTTTTTTAAGGAATTTTTTCCCTTTTTTGTTAGTAAGTTCAGAATAATCAAATTTGCAAATTCTTCCAGTACACTTAGACAAGAAATAGTAGTTGTAATAATCTTGTTCATTCTTGCTAATTTTTTATCTTGATAACAACAATTTAACCAAGTCTTTACAGCTTTACTAAGAGCCTTTTACCTTTATCTTTAAAATTTAGGTTTGTCTTGCAACATACACAAGCTTTATTTGAATGAAAATTTATGTTTAGACTGGATCTAGAGTCAACAAAGTCTAAACCCAATTGAATCAATGAACCAAAGATAGACATTTTTGATGTTTTTGCATTTCTGATATTAAATTGTTTTATAAATTAGTATTTAACAAGTTATCTAAATTTAAAGAAATTATTGACCATATTTATTGACTATGTATAATGAGATTAATTTGTCAGATTTTTTTTACGTATTTTGTATCGATCTTTTGCAATTCTAAATTTAAAACATAAGTGATTTAGAAATTGGAACAAAAATACTCTAAAAATGCCACCCGATCCTCCTCATTTTAATCAAAAATTAGTTTTTGAAAAAAACGTACGTACACATATTTATGAGAGCACGTATAGAATGTGTGTTAAATGTACAATAAGTTGGTTGGTTTTGAACAATTAATTTTGTTTAAAATTTTGTTTGACTTTGCTACTAAGAACCATTGTATTAACCAAAATAAAAAATCATTGTTTGCAAATGAGTTGAAATTGTTAGTTTTTTTTTCAATTTTTTCTAATTTACTGTTTAAATTTACCCATTAAACACACTTCGTTACATAGACGTAAAAACATCTTTTAGACGTCAGTTTGTTTAAAAACGTTTTTTAAATGTCGTATTTTACCGGGTAAGTAACACTTAGAGTTTTTACTTTGTCTTTATTACATCAATATTTATTTAATATTAAATCAATATAGACAAATTAAGTGAAATATTTGGCGCTACTCTTATATTTGACTGTATATATTGCCACCGTCGTACCCAATTAAATCCAATTTAGTTTTCAACACTATTGGCACATGCATTGCTATTATGTTACAATAAACAAAATCACAAAAAAATTTTTTTCTTTGTTTTATTAAAATATATCATCAATTATGAAAGTTTAATTATTTTTAATTGTAAAACTAATCCGAAATATTTTTCTACTTATGTAAAACGTCAGCAACCATACATTAACAAAATCTTTTGTCTCATGGACTAAAATGGCAAATCATTAGATAAAAACTCAATTGTTGACTGTTGCATTAATTATTACTATTTTAAAGCGTTTTCTCCATTAACTAGCCAAAACATATTAGCATATGAAGTCAGCTTCTAATTTTTGGCATATTAATTTTGAATTATCTTAATTTTGTTTTTTGGCTCTTAACAGAACAAAATGACGAGTTATTAATGGAATTCAGAATCATGGTTTTCAACATAGCTCCGTTAATGCAAAGTAATGGTATTTAAAAGTAGATCTAATGTATTTTTTTTTTTGCTATGCTTGGTACTTAGACGCTCATATTTTACTTGGTATTGTCAATACTGGTTAGATGTTTGGTATGTACATTAATGATAAACACAAATGTCTAATGTCTAAATAAATAGTAAAACCTTATAAGTTAACCTGATGATTGCGCTTTGATATATGTCTAAAAAAATTAGAAATTTTCTTCAAAATTTCTAATTTTTTTTAGACATCTATACAAATTTAAACAAATTCAAACTAAAAGAACCAAATGTTAAAGTCAAGTATCCGCCCCACCTCTCCCCCTTCTTTTCCTATTTATTTATTTTTATTTGAACTTTCATGAAATTGAAATTTCATAACCTACTTTGTTTGTAAAACGCTTTTAATTAGGTTAGTTAAAAGCGTTTAACGAACTTAATTGGTTTTTGAATATAGAAAATAGATTATAGAAAATTCACAATTAGAAAAAATATAAAAACGGGAGTTCAAGTGATTGTTTCAATAGTTACTATTAGCTATTCCCGGAAATCTCCGAGAAATCATTTTGAAAACCATTGGTAACCCTAAACAGTTTTATGGATTTAATAAAAACGTAAAAGTTGCTAAAAGCTACAGTCCTAGCTGTATTTTTAGCATAGACTAGAGTTGCTTTTAAAAACTTTTTTGTTTCCATTGTTCTAGAATGATATTTTGTTCTAGAATAATATTTTCTAATGTGATGTGAACATTTTAAGCAATGTGTTTCTTTTGAAAAACTTTCATATTATAAAAGATCTTTCAAGTAATTAAAGATACTCCCCCTAAATTTCAAAACTGTTATTGAAAAGTCATGTTTATTTTCTCATGCATAATCATTTAAAATGCGACAGGAGTAGCTAAAAAAATTACTCTATGTAGAGTATGCTTTTCTACTACACTTAAATTTCATGACCAAAAATAATCAGAGAAGTTAAAGCCTTAAAACTCACATATTAAGATATGAGTTTTAGGGCTTTTACTTTTCTAACAGATTGAAATACATTTTATGTAGTTACATTTAAACAAATTTATGTTTAAGTATATCTTAAATGCTATCAATATCACTGTTTATAATTACAATACTATAATAATAATATATAAAAATTATTAATTTTAAAGATTTTTTTAATTTTCTAAAAAGATTTAATAGTAGCAGCATTTTTTTATCATTTCAATTTATTAAACTCAAACAACACAGTGGTAATGCAGATGTCAAGCTATGTAGAGAATTCTATAACTAATAGAATAGACTGATAGATTTTAATACTCTAAATATAATTGCATTTGAACAAATTTATATTTTAATTCAGTTTTTTTAAAATTTACTAATGTCATTGCTTATGTTTACAAGTCAAACAACATGATTCTAATGCAGATGCTAGGCTATGTAGAGTTGTTTGCAAAAACCTGAACAATAATAGATTTTAATGAAAAACTATACAAACAAAGGCATTCATGGAAATTTTTTTAACTATAATATCAGCAAAAAAATTAATGGGTGCATTGGATAATTTAACTGTACTGTTATCTAACAACAGTAATCTGTATTTTATAACTACTATAGCAGTATTATATAAAAAGTAGCTACTGTAATCAGTATATATATATGTGTATATATATGTATATATATATATATATATATATATATATACACAAAGTTAACAATATATATATGTATATATATATATATATATATATATATATATATATATATATATATATATATATATATATGTATATATATATAATATGTATATATATAATATATAATATATATATATATATATTTATAAATATATTTATATATATATGTATATATATATATATATATATATATATATATATATATATATATATATATATATATATATATATATATATATATATATATAATTTTATACATTGTTGATTTTTGATTTTGTATAAAAAATACTAAACTCTTGATTGTAGCAGAGTGCTCAATATTTAAGAAATATATACTTTCAAAAACATTTCTGCATTAGTCTCTATTACAGTAAATACAAATGCAGCAAGCATTTCTTGCATCTGAAACTTTACAGCATTGGCTTTGTTTATATCTCCAAAAAACATTTTTTCATTTAAAGAAACAGATTCATCTTTCCAGAATAATATATTATATTATATATTCTTTCCAGAACAATATATAAACCAGTTATAATAAAGAAATGAGAGTCAAAGTTTTTATAATCATTTATGACAGGAGTTGGTTATGATTTCATTCCTATAAAAATAATAAACTAACTTAATTACAATGTGTCCCAAGTTTAGATAAACAAAAACCAACCTATAAATAATGTATTCATTGTTTAATTGTAGATTCATCAAGTTCAAATGTGAAAAAAATCATGTAGGTACTACAACATGTTAAGAGAGGAATATCTTGAACTGAATGGTGTTAAAACTTTGGTTTGAATGGTGTTAAGACTTTGTTTTGTTTATATCCATTTGCAGTTTTTGATTCTGGAAAGATTGATTAAAAATTTTTTCCATTTTTATTGGTTGAGTTTTTTAACTTTTTTTCCAATCTTTATTGGCAGAGGTTTTTAATTTCGAAATTATGAGTGATTTTGATATGTTAAACCTCTTCCTCAACTGTAAAACAGTTTAATATTACTACACACATACTATGTATGTATGTATGTATGTATGTATGTATGTATGTATGTATGTATGTATGTATGTATGTATGTATGTATGTATGTATGTATGTATGTATGTATGTATGTATGTATTAATTATTAATTTTAAATCAATATTTAAATAACTCAAAACCAAAACTTTAGTAATTTAGTTTAATATATTATCAAAGACCTAAAGAATTGCTGGATGTTTTGTGTTCATTGGAATATGCACTAGTTTTATTTTTTGAGCACCTGTAATACCTTTTTTAATTGGATGATTAAATTTGGTATCAGTTTGACAGTTAAAAAAATAAATTTTTTATAATATTAACAACATTTTTATAAACAAATAATAAAATTATTTATGTTGTTTTAAAAAAGATAATGAAAATCAAAAACATTTTGAAACATACATTCTATGGAGAAAATGTGACATTGCTACCAATTGGAATATGTGCAACTTTGTATTTGCTCATAGTAAGAGTTATTTGTATTATTATTTTTTGCAAACAATAAATACTTTCACAAAAGTTGTTTTATTGATACAAAAGTGTTTTATTGACAGTTGCAGAGTTACACAATACTTACAGACACAATAAGGCACATTTTTGTTGAAATGAAAAAGTCATGCACAAAAGTTGTCTCTTATAAGAAAATATAATTTTATTATAAGCATAATTAATATTTTATTTTAAATAAATCCTTAGGATTTCCTTAGATTTATTTTTTTATTTTAAACTTGTTTAAATAATCTTCAATTTTTCGATACTATTTAACTTAGACACACTAATAAATGAGACAAGTTCTAAGCAAATTTTTATTTCTTCGAACAGACTAAAGATTAAAAAATACTCAGCAAATGTATAAAGTTTAAATAATTATTAAAAAAGTTTTTGTTTTATTTAGTTGTTCAATGGGATGGTCACTACCAATCTTTCATCATACTTACCACAGTTGGTTAAGGTAAACATATATAGAATGATGTTCTATAAAAACCTGTGAATATTATAAATTACTATTACTCCCTAAATTTTTAAGCTACAAATTAAACAGAATTGTATTTATAAAGAACATTTATTCCCTTATTGGGTTCCATAATGAATGTCTTCTATCAGTTTTTTATTCATGATTTTCCTAATTTGAGTATGAGTTGACTTGTTGAGGTCTTTTATAAGGATCTTGTCAACTTTTTTGAGGCATATATTTATCCTATGAATAGTTTCAGATTTTTTAAACTAATACATTATTATTTTTAAATTATTTTTTTTTATTTTAAAGTTGTGAACTTTTTATTCCAAATATATTTAAAAACTATAAAGTGGCTTGGAGGAAAAAAAGACTGAAACAAAAGAAAAACAAAAAAATTATACGTTATTACATAATACTTTTGGGATCAGTCAAACTGCCTAATAAGTTTTAGATATACTAGATACAACGTCATATAATTTTTTAAATCTAAATGATATTGTTTTAATAGTTGAATAATCATTCAATTTTTGTTAAAAAACATTTTTATTAAAAGAAAATTTAGTTTATTCAAAACACAGGTTCAATTAAAACCAAGTTCAACCATCCAGATGCAATCAAAACCAAGTTCAACCATCCAGGCTCAATCAAATTAAGTTAAAATGTAAAAAGATTTTTAGTTTGCAAAGATTTTAACTTAATTAACTTTAGTACTGTGCTACACAAAATGGAGGGCATTAGCTTTAAAAATAAAGTTCTATAAAATATATTTTTCATGTTTAAAAACATTACTTAAAAGTAAAAATTGTTAAATAATACTTTAGAAGTTTTACTCATATTTATTTTAAAATGAAATCTGAGATAGGGAAGATACACAAATTAAAAAATTACCTATAAGTTTATTATATACAATTTATTTTGTGTAAAATTTTAAGTTTATTATATACAATTTATTTTGTGTCAAATTTTTAATCAAATTTATCACACCAAGGATGGTTGAACTTAGATAGTTCAATCAAGACCAAGTTCAACCAGGTTCAATCAAATTAAGTTAAAATGTAATAAGATTTTTAGATAAAGATTTGTGAATTTATTTTCATAAACCATCTTTCTTGGTGAATTTAATTAAATATTTTTAGTTACTCTGTATTGTAGCTATGTTGGTTTTTCATTAAATAAAAAAAAGTTGCAGTTGTGGTTTTTAATATTGTCAAAGTTTTATTTAATGCTGGAACTTTTTTTTGTGTTTTTTTTTTTTAATAAAATTTATCTCACAAAGGGTCCAGAGTTCGTTACCATGAAAGAGGCTGCTCATTTTTATATATATATTTTATCTACTGTTGCTCTAATAAATCTTAAAACCAAAAGTAATGTTTTAATTTTAGGGGCTAAAAAAAAATATTATAAATTAATTAATAAATGATTTGCTGATTGTCAGTGTAAAAAAAATAATTTTTATTTTTTAAATAAAAGTAGTTTTTCTAGAAGTTTAATTTCATCAAAAATCTTCTAAAGATAAACTAAAATGCTTTGCAATGAAAGCCAAAAAAATTGAAATGCAATGTGTTTTATTGTAACCACCAGCAACAAACGGTGAAAACCCAAATGATAAAATGGAAAAACCCAAGCTCATACTTTGTAACTATTTTATTTTAATTATTATTTATGAAATAATATATAGAATATATAATTATTATATTTACAACTCCTCACTTAGAGACATCTTTAATATTAAATGCGAAAATACTTTATTTTTGTTGTTTGCTGCTACTTTAGCTGATACCTTTTTTTTTAATTTACTTTTTATAAGTTGTTTATGTATCTATTTTCAGTTTAACTAATTACAATAGTTATATGAAGTGGTAAATAGCTCTAGTAGTACCTGCAAGCTGCAAGGAACTGAATAATTTGCATCATTTCCCTAATTAAAAAAAACTTGATGACTTAGTTCAAGATTTAAATCTCACTAAATCAAATGCCGAAATTCTGACATTAAGTTTGAAAGAATTAAATTTATTAGATCAAAACTGTGAAACTTCAAAATATGAAAAGAGACATAAAACACTTGCATGTTTTTATTTAGTATCAGAATCACTGTGCAATTGTCATATCATTCGTGTCATATCATTTGTGTCATATCATTCCTGTCATATCATTCGTGTCATATCATTTGTGTCATATCATTCGTGTCATATCATTCGTGTCATATCATTCGTGTCATATCATTCATGGACTTTTTGTTGAAATTGTTCACAATCCTAAAAAGCAGAGATTATTTAATGGCAGCTCAAAAAAAAAGTATTTCTTCAGTTTTACTCCATAATGAAAATCAATTTCCTTCAATCCCAGTAGCTCATTCTGTTCAACAGAAAAAATCAACTACGACAGTTATAAGTATGATGTATGTGGAGATTTTAAGATAGCATTTCTTCTTGGTCTTCAATGTATATATTTTTTGGCCTAATATGTATATCAACATGTATTCTCCATACAGGAAGTATTCATGTTTTCTTTGTTTATGGGATAGCAGAGCGGTGGATCAGCACTTTATAAGGCGGTAGTGGTCAGTAAAGGAACATAAATAGCCTGGTTCGCACAATGTTATAAATCAATCCCTAATACCTCTTAAGAAGATCTTACATCCTCCTTCTTTACATTAAACTAAGTCTTGTCAAACAATATGTCAAAGCATTAAACCCATCTAGTGCAGCATTCCAGCATATTTGGCAAATGTTTCCAAAGGTGTCAGATGCAAAAGTTTTAGCAAGTATATTTGCTTGCCACAGACTAAAGTTATGTAAGCATGTAATGAGCTGCAGGAAAAAATGTCTGAAGTTGAAAAAGAAGCATGGGTTGCGTTTTATCACATTGTTAATAGTTTTTCAGGCAACAATAGGAGTGATAACTACAAAAAGCTTGTGAAAAACCTAGCTGCATTTTCTCAGACTAAATTTGTGTGATTTAAGTGAAGAGCACTGAGAAGTTTTTCATCAGGATATTTTTAAAATGGAGAAAAGATATCAGGGCAGATAGGATGCAGCTATTATTGGTGACTACATCTGGTGTTTGCTATGCGATGGCAACAAACTTCATAAAAGAAAACCATGCTCTACTGTTCACTTTAAATTTTTTATAAAAATATTACATTACAACATAATGTAACATTATATAATATATGTATGTAATGTAATGTAGTATTATGTTTTGTAACATAACACAACATTTTTAAACTAAGTAATGTTATACATTTGCTAAAAATGTCTAATAATTTCGTAAAATAATGAAATTAATTGTAAATTGTGGTTTTATGGTCAAACGGTTGGTGCAATAAAAAAACCAATGTCATATTCAAATAAATTGTCATGCTCAAATAAATTAGGAAATATCAAAATGTTTTGGTATATAGAATTTATTAGGGTAGAGATAATAATTCACTTTGAGCAACAATGGTAGTTTTTTATAGAAAAATGTTTATAAAAAAAGGCAACTTCTGACTGAGTCTGACTTGCCTATTAGAGGAGATTCAACTGCATTTAAATTTTAGACTTTTAAAAAGAAAATTCATCATTAAAAGAACAAGAGCAAATATGATTGTCTTGTCCATTCAAGGACGGACAAGAGATTTATAAAGGTAGAAAATGGAATCAGTAAGATGGAAAATAAATGGAATATAAGCTTTAAATGAGAGGTCAGTTATCAAGATAATTCAAGAACACGTAAAGTAGAGAACTCATTAAGAGTGTGAAGCCATTCATTTAGAATTATCAATAGAATCATTAATGGTGTTTTCATTTACTATTAGTATTGTGATAATTATTCGTATTAAACAATTTTTATCTTTTTAAAACTAATACTTTTGAGTATTGTTTGGATTACAATAACTGTAATACAATATGAATTACAATAATGCAAAAAATATTAGCAAATAAAGCTATTAATGGTATTTAATAAATTATAAATGGTAGATTGTTAGGTGATTGTAAAGAAAATTAATAAAGTAGATAAGAAATAACATGAGGCTATGGATGAAGTTTTGTGGCATCCCAGAGGTTATTTTAAATAAAGAAGGTTGTTATCTGTCAAGTATAAATTTTATTAATGAAGGAAAAGAAAAAATCAATAATTCAATATTAAAAATTTTTGTTTCAATACTTATGAGCATTGAATTTTTATACCTCGTCTATTTTAATATCAAAATTTTTTTTTACCTTTATTACCAATTTTACCAAAGAAACCATGTTTAACACAAGTACACAGAGAGCTTATAAAAAAGACCAGCATGTCTTTATTTAAAGTCTTTGATAGGTCAAAAGCTTCATTTAAATCACAATACAATCTTTTATTTATTATGGCAAACAAGTAACAGAAGAAAAAAGGATCAAAATTGATTGTCAAAGAGTAAAATAATAGACTCAAGATAAGATAATAAAAGTTTGTAAATTAAAGACTTAAAAACCTTCCTAATAATAAAAAGACTTATCAAACAGTTGATAAAAGGAGCAAGAAATTGGTGGAGTGTCCAGAAGTTCAAGATGTAATAGAATTAATATGATCATTAATAAGAGATAAATAATAATAATAAAACAATAATCATAGGCAAAATATATTAACCCAAGGACCATCATAAAGGTAATCATAAAAGAAATCCATTCAGCCATTCACTGTTAATAATCTGTTATTTTACTTCTATTGATGGAATTAGCATCTCTGAGAGTTATCACAGAGTTGGTGAAACCTTATTATAAGCCAGCCTATGAACCATTAAAATAAGTTTTAAATTTTCATTATATACAAGAAAAAACATTATTTTATTATAAGAAAGAGAAAACAGAATGAGTTCCATATTCATTACAAAAAAAGGAAAAGCTATTAAGTGAGTCAAAAATATAATTTATCATCCTTTTCAGGAAACAATATGACACAGATTTACATTTTACAATTTTTATGTCAAAAAGATGCTTTTTAAAAGTCTTTTTAAAAGATATCTGATTACCCAAAAAGCAGAGCATATTTTTTCAAATTTTTTTTGAAATAGATATATTCTGTAATAGAAAAGTAAAAGAAATTTTTTAAATTTTTTATTAAATTGTCAGAAAATAAAAAAATTTTCAATTTGTATACATTTTGTAGCGAGTGCAGTTGCATAAGTATTTTTAAAAAGGCCAAAAAAGTAATTTTTCATTCCCTTTTGTATCTATTTTTAGAATATAGTTTTACACTAGACAGGACAATTGGTTGGTCCCACTCATTCGATATTAGGTTATGTAGTTTGAGTGAAAGAGGATAAGAAGGTAGCTGACAAGATTTTTGTAATATGAACTTATAATATGAAATAGTTTAATATTTTTGTATTGCATTTTAAGAGAAAACGTTTTAGGTTTTTCAACTAAGATTTTTTATCTGTTGTCTTGAAGTTTAAACAATGGTCACATTTCAAACAGTCTACAACCAGTACTAATTACTCTGCAATCCTCTTTTTAAAGTTTAAAAGAAGTATTTACCAAGTTTAAAAGCATTCTCTGCAAAGTTATTCAAAAAATGAAACCATTTTAAATCTAATATAAGAATGAATATTACAAATGAAGACATTTTAAATCTAATATAAGCTGAAAATTCATGGAAATATACTTCATGTACAGTCTTTTATAATTAGTCAAAGAAAAATTCTCTGTTTTAGCTTAAACAAAAATCCTAAAATATCCTTGTTTTATTTTTTGTCAATAAATATTTCTGAATACAGTTTTCCTATCTGCCCTGCCAATTAAGAACACCCTAGGTACAAAAATTGAATTTTGGGATTTACATTTTGAATACGATATTGCACCTTGTATAACACGTGGTCTATACATCAGTTTGATAATCAAATCATGTTTTTATTTTGGCTTATTGTTGCGAGTAATTTTAGGGGCTGAACTTTAGTCTGCAAATTATTTTTATTTTAATATATTCCACACCCTAGCGGAAATATTTAATTTGAAAAAAATGTCCACCAGAAACAGTTTACATTTTCAAAACCACAATACTTTAAACAACTATTATATAAATTTTGAAAATAATTAGTCGACGTCTTTCAAAAAAAGGGGGTTAAAGGGGCAAATCATGAATTTTTGGCATTTAAAATAGGTAACTTTTAATTATGGTGCAAACTTAAAATTTTGTAATATTGATTCTGGTATCAAATAACAATGTTTTACATAAAATTCAGGACCCTCTGTCCCAAATGTAGAAAGAAGAAAATAAAATTTTTTTTTTATTGCAGTATTTTAAAATAGATTGAAATTCATTGGAAAAACTAATTTGTCTAAAAAAATACTTATCATTTAAAAGAATGGCAAGGAAAGATTGAAACCTCTCAATTTGAGGTGGTAGTCAACTTTACAAGGTTATAAGGGATCGTCCATAAATTACGCAAAGCAAAATTTCACAATAAACAAAACAAAAAAAGATTAAAAGTTTTCCCTTGCAGAGTCTTAATTTAAATAAATAATAAAAATAGAAAATTAAGTTAAATGAAAATCGTAAAAGAGCTTAATATCTCCTACTTCTGATCCTAAAATATTTTTTGCGTTCCCTAACGACGATCGTCCTAATAGTTAGGACGATCCCTAACTTAAGAACGTTAAAACAGTTTTTTACTAAATGAGAGTTTTATAGATGAATTTTACTCGAATTCATAATGATAAAGTTTTTTTTTAAGTGCTATCATTGCCCCCTTCCCTAACAAATACTTGGTCCTTTGTAGCCCAATTTTAATGAACAATTTTAAACAATATGTTAATTATGGTAAAAAAAAAACATTTTCATTGCAAGTTAAATGTATAAACAACATTCCACTGTTTTATATACTTCCTTGTGGTATACCTCAAAAAAAAATTATTAATAGATATTATGAAAGTTAAAGAAGGAAGTATGACATTGAACAGAATACATAAGTTCTTTTTAAAATCATTTGATTTAAACATTGAAAGCTTTCCTAATGGCATTTGTACTCAATGTAGAAAGGCATTAAAAAGACTTAAAAAAGAAGATAGAAACATTATTCTGAGTAAACTGTATGATTTCTCAAAAGTCAAAGTATTTATACTTACCAAAAACCAATTATTCTGTGTTTGTGACATTTGTAAAACTACTTGAACTAAAATTACTCCAGGATCAACATCTGCAAGGGATTGTTGGCAGAGAGTGAAGTAGTGGGAGAATCAAGTTGGGAAGAGTAAAAATTTTATCACCTAGAAAAATAAAAATATGTAAAAGTTGTAGAGTTGTCATTGGAAGAAGATTACCCCATCCTTGCACTCTCACAACGAGAAGAAAAAATTTAACAGAAGAACATGATAAAAGTAGGGTAAACCTTTTTTTTTAATTAATATTTTTGATTTAATATTTCAAATTTGAAATAAGGAAATTTATATAAATATATAAAATAATTGAATAAAAATGTTAAACATGGTTTCTTTGGTAAGTTTGGTAAAATTGGTAATTAAGGTAAAATTTTTTGGATATCAAGATAGATGAGCTACCAAACTTTAATGCTCAAAAGTATTGAAAAGAAAATTTAAGGAAGAGGAAGATAAAATCAAGGTTGTGGACAAAGGGAAAGCCATTCTCGTTGAACAAATAAAAAACTTTGTTCTCCCAAAACCGTTTGATTTCAAACAGTTTTGGCAGAGTGGATACAAAGTTGCTAGTAGCCTTAAAGACTATCCACAAAGCCTGCTTAAAGCCATTATTACAAACAAATCCTGACATTTTTTAAAACAGTTTTACTTTAAATTAAATATGTTATAATATATATGTGTATCATTTAGAAACTATTATTGATTGTAAATGAAAATAAATATAAATGTAAACATAAATTTGTGTCATTTATACCATACACTAATTGAAAAAATATATACAAAAAAGATCAATTTTAAGATTTTTTATTGTTCAAGATAAGTAACCTCCATATATTTATTTTCACACTAATACAAATATGTTTAAAAGAATCATGATGAACAGAGTTTAGGAACAATATTATCCTCAAATTAGGGCCCTAAAGTCCAAATAATTTTTAGGGAAGGGGACAATGATAGCATTTAAAAAAAAACTCTACCATTATGAACTCAATTAAATTCATCTGTAAAATTCTTATTTAGTAAAAAACTGTTTTAACGTTCGAAAGTTATCACTTTGTAAAGTTGACAACACTCTCAAATAGAGGGGGTTTCAAACTTTCATTGGTTGCCATTTTTAAACGATAAGAAATTTTTTTTAGATAAATTAATTTTTCCAATGAATTTTGATTTATTTTAAGATATTGCAAAAAAAAGTTTTTTTCTTCTTCTTTTCACATTTAGGACAATGGGTCCCAATTTTTCAGGAGTATATTGTTCCCAGGCTCTTGTTGTTAAAAATTTTTGTAAAGCATTCTTATTTGATACCAGTATCAATATTAGAAAATTTAAAGTTTGTACCATCTTTGGAAGTTACCTATCTTAAACACCAAAAATTCATGATCTGCCTGTTTAACCCCCCCCCTTTTTTTTGAAAGGCATCAACAGAATATTTTCAAAGTTTGGATAATAGTTATTCAAAGTATTGTGTTTTCAAAAATGCAATTTCTGCTATGGTGTGATCTATTTTAGTTTCAACTGAGTTTGACATAAGTAAGACAAGTAGTATAATGTGTTATTATTTTTTTTATAGACGTTTAATGTCAGTGAAGTTGATACAGGTAACAGCAAATCATATTGTTAGTTTTTTTTTAAATGTATTGATAAATTTTGTTAGTTGAAGGAAACAAATAATATTTTGGCCAAAAAAACAAAATATTTGACCTAAGAATAAGACCTAAGCTGTAAAAGATGTTTCTTTGCTGATGTAGTCTGCTAGACAATTATAAAAATTTTTAAAAAAGTATAAATGGTATGTATTAGAGTTTTTATTCTCTTTATATTAAAACTTTAAAGAAATTTTAAAGTTTTAAAATTTTTTGATAAGTTTACATTAATCTTTTTATTGCAACTTAAAAAAAATCTTCTCCTCTAAATCTTGTCCTTTAACTAAAGATTTAGATGTCTTAGTTTTGATTCTCTGTGACTCAAGATAATATATAAACTTGTTGTATACTGCTCCTCTAAACAGTTTTTTACAAAAGCTTTTGATTTTCGGGCGAGCTACCTTTTTATTTATTAAATATGTTGCTTATTAAATACAAAATTTAATTTTACTTTTGTTACATGTAACGTTAATGTTAACAGAATATATGTAAAACATGTGTTGTTCATCGTGCCAAGAAAAAATTCCTTAGACAAGCGTTTTCTTTAGGTTTTCTCACTAGCTATCTATTTCTTCATTTATTAATGAAATTTTGTAATCAAAAAAAAATCTGAAAATGGAACTTTGTTTTATGTTTATTTGATGTAATT